GGTCCAGGATGGTGTGGTGAAGATGTGACAAGAGCTTAGGTTACCTTTACGGTGATGGAAGTCCTTCGAAGTCAATACCTTAGTGGGAAAGATTTGAGCAATCTATATAACTATATATGTATCATTGACCCTGTTAATGACAACGTCCCAGATAGCACACGACGTCTGAAAGACGTCTTTTTTGTGTCTTGGTTTGGTCTCAATGTCCTAGGACGTTATTAAGACGTCTTATAAGACGTCTGTCAAAAGCCATAATTCAGACGTATTAATGTGAGAGCTCAAAGACGTTTTTAAGACGTCTTAAAGACGTCTTTCCAAATCCATATATTAATGTGAAAGCTCAAAGACGTCTTTAAGACGTCTTACAAACGTCTTTCAGTCAGACGGAAACTTGAACGGTTTAAAAGAAGAATCAAATGAAGTGAAGTTTGACGTTTGACTTAACACTACATTCAAGCCCAAGCTTATTAGGCATTCCAAACTGAATGCCTACCAGTGGGCTTTGACGGGTTATGATATTGCAAAATTATGGCAACCCTGTAGACCTGGTGATTTGACAAGGTCAATGAAATAGATAGTTACATAGATTGATTATCCATATTTTTCAAAATAAACATAAGCGTATGCCTTGAAGTAAAAATGTAAGCAATTATTTTTTTTAAATATCTAAAGGCTAAAAATTGGTTTTAAAACACATTTTTGCCAAACCGATTCAAATTAATAAATATTTGCCAGGCAATATGGCCGCTCGTAAACGACCAGCTTTGAGCAATCTATATAACTATATATGTATCATTGACCCTGTTAATGACAACATGACAACAGGGTTGCCATATCTAAACTGTCATTACCCACTGGTAGCCATTTGGACAGGTCGTTGGAATGCCTAATTAGGCATTCCAAACAAATGAATTGCCAGTGGGCAGGTTTGGTAGATGTGACGGTTGCGACATACGATGTATTCTATCTACAATACGTTAAATCATGAATAATGGATTACATTTAAATATTTTATATCGAACACTATAAAAATATTAATCAAAAAAACTGCTTGTACATTTTTTTAAAAACTGGCAGGATTGGCGACTGATATTTCGAATAAAAATAGCGTCCAAGATGCAAGACTATGTCGCTACCCCCTTAGATATACGAGACCTTCTCACTGGCAGGTATTGTTTGACAGGTCGTTGGAATGCCTAATTGTGAATTATTGATCATTCTATTGCGTACGTGATTATAGCCGCCAAAAGTGTGTTTGGGCTACTTTGTACATTTGTGTTTGGTCTCTTTTTACTTAAATAATATGGGACTAAAACCAGAGAAGGAAGAATAGTGGAGTTTCTGTTACCGATGTATCACGTTCCTGGAATACTTTCTACAGGTAATAAATGAATATTTGTTTATATACATAAACATTAATATCCTGTTTCTTTTAAATAAGAATAATTAAATGAATTAAAAAGTAAACATCTTAATATAAGATTTAATTCAGTTATTCGTCAATTTCCTTTTTTTTATTTTATGGAGATTTCGAGAACTATTAAAAGCCACATGTTAGCTCATATTGTCTTAAATGATTTGTTATAAAAATTGATTTAAAATTGTAAGAAATTAATTTTTTGTTTTGTTTCATAATAAAATTGTTCTTTCGGTTTTTACTAACTTTTACAAAGTATAACTTCCTGTGACTATAATGCTCTTACTTAAATTTCTTTTCAGGAGCGACTATACAAAGGTAACTTCAAATCAAAAAGAAAGAAAAAATCAATCCAGTTATGGCTAAAGAGGAGTGATCGAATGCGCTACAAAGAAAATAACTCTTAGTGACCTGTGATTAATAGATATTTTATCAATAAATATTTTTAATTCTATTTTTTGCATTCTTTATAACCTGCAAGGTTATTCTACTAATTTTAATAACCAAGATGCACGATGATACCCATTTTTAAATTATTTTATATTATTATAAACAAGTTATAGAATTGGCAGAAAAAAATAATGAACGTGTTATTTATGGCTTATTTAAGTTTAACCAGACCTTTATAAGCCATTAATAAGTCATCTTAAAGACGTCTTATTTATGGCTTATTTAAAGCTTCACAATACCATTATAAGCCATTTATGAGACGTCTTATTTATGGCGTATTTAAAGCTTCCCAAGACCATTATAAGCAATGAATAAGACGTCTTAAAGACGTCTTATTTATGGCTTATTTAAAGCTTCCCAAGACCATTATAAGCAACGAAGAAGACATCTTAAAGACGTCTTATTTATGGCTTATTTAAAGCTTCATAAGACCATTATAAGCCATTAATAAGACGTCTTATTTAAGGCTTCATAAGACCATTATAAGCTATTAATAAGCAGTCTTAAAGACGTCTTATTGATGTCTTATTTAAGGCTTCACAAGACCATTACAAGCTATTAATAAGTCGTCTTAAAGACGTCTTATTTATGGTTTATTTTAAGCTCTACAGACCAATATAAGCCATTAATAAGACGTCGCTTTTTGTAACATCAGACGTCTCCTAAGACGTCTTAAAGACGTCTTTCAGGAAATACCAGACGTCTTAAAGACGTCTCGAATGTCTTATGCTAGACGTCTTAAAGACGTCTTTAAGACGACTTTGTGCTATCTGGGGTGACAACAGGGTTGCCAGATCTAAACTGTCATTACCCACTGGTAGCCATTTGGACAGGTCGTTGGAATGCCTAATTAAATTCGGAGCTCTTTATCTCTGCTTGGCTAAAACGGTTGCATGCTGAACCATAGGCGTCCCGTCCCTAGAACGGTGTTACTAGGGAACATCGTTACAAGATAGTTACGTTTTACAGATTTGGTTGTTTTTACATTGTGTTATAATTTTAATAGACCAAACGTTCCTAAAAATGAATAACATTTACATTAATTTGCTGTGATGCATACAGGGTGTGTCCAAATTTAAAGTTACGATATTCTCATTTTTTATCCTGTGTGGTATACCACCAAGTTATAAATTAATTTCTTTACTTTTTCATTTTGTTTGGAATTCTATTCCTAAACGAATTTTTCTCATGATTTTGACGGTTTTACAATGAAAATTGACATATTTTTTTCACATTTTTCTAATAATTGGCTTTGGAAAATATGGACTAATGTAATTTTTGGTAACCCATTTGTCAGATTTAATGAATGGTTTTCAATTCCTTCGACGTTACAAGTAGTGCTTTCTTCTATATGCACACAGAGGACCCCACACTTTTTATATTGATTTTGGGTAATTTATTCAAATTTTAGTAAGTTATTTTTCAGGTAAATAAAGGCAACTTTCTCGTGGACCCAAAGTGTGCAGCTCTACAGGGTGAGCTGTTAGAAGAAGTCAAAAGTAAGGATTGTCTGTAATTTTGGTAGTTATGGAAAGAATAAAACACAATATTAAAATACAACTATTAGAATCTATTGATATTAATTTTATATACAATATTTTTTACAGATAAATATCTCTAGATAAATGTTATAGTACACAACTTAGACATCAAGTTCAGCTAATCTAGTAAGTTAAAGAGCGCCACGGATAAACATATTTAATAAAAATATTTAAAAATTATTAATAAAACCAAGCAATCTAAATGAATTAAAAACTACAACAGAAATTATGTATGGATATTTTTTTGTCTACCGTTTTATTACCCAATATAAAAATAAACATTTGACATTTTCCGTGACGCCCTGTATGAAATGTACGGACTGCCGCCATTTGCTAATAGGATAAGCGAACATAGGGTATGTATCTATTTAACAAGGCATACACCTCAGTCAGCCTTATTTCGTGATAATTATCGTAGAATTATTTTGTAATTTATGGAGATCGAGAATATTTGGTAACAACCATTTTTGTGTCATTTGAGAGTAGAATTTTCTATGTTAATATTAATCGATTCGTCGATTCTTTTTTTTTACGGAAAACCGATTACTGAATAATCGAAAATAATCGATATTTATATTATAAGATTAAAAATCAATTAAATAATATCGATATATCGATTAATCTGATTATTCGGAAATAATCAATTTAACGAATAATCAAACAGTCGATAAATCAAAAATAATCGAATTGAATACTCAAATATAATCGATTAATTGAAAATAATCGATTAACCTCCTAACATGTGCTGGTACATTTTATTTTATTTTTGAAATCCCCATCACTATCCAACCGCATATTGTATCACACTCAATTTTTTTATTAGGTGTTTACCATGAACTATAGCAACTTTTGTTAAAACATAATTGGGGGAGGTCCTTAAATGAAAATTAGCTACGCTTAAAGTTTTTTTTTTCTATGTATAAAAATAAAGGCGTTAATTATTAATTAAAACGAAAATCGTCAATTTCGGTTGTGTCTAAATTTCTCAGATACTGGATCCGATATTTTAATAAAAAAATACCCATTTAAATAATAAAATCCTAATACTGTTCAATTTCAATTAAATTAAAATATGAGTTGAAGTTGTTAAGCGCACCGTAACATTTACGTGTCATGACAGATAATGACAATTATTATTAGGATTTCTTCTTTCCCAATTAAAAAGAGGTTATTTTATTTGCGTTACGTGCATACGCCAGAGCCCGCAAGCTTACGTATGTACGTAGACGTGAACGTGAAGGATATTTGAATACGCATGCGTAGATGTCAATTTTCACGTATACGTTTACGTTCAATAGCATCACTTCAACTCTCTGTCAAGTAAATACTTCGTAAGCCAGCGTATTTGAATGAGAGTAAGGTGTGTGAATTAGGTGTTACGTTTTAGTCAATAATTGTTAGAATTTGCAATTAATATTGCATTAGGAAGTTTTTAAAAGAGACGTAAGTAGTTTATAATTGTGTTTTCGTATTAAAACATTGGTTATAACTTATAATATTGCTATGGAGTCATGTTTTCTTTGAATATTGACTTACGACTTATTGAATTAATATCTGAAATTGAGTTACGAGGTATTGTTTTTTTTTTTCAGGTGTGAAAATAAAGTTAGTAATTTAAAAATGAACTCACGCACGAAAAGAATTTTTGATCTATGCAATCTAGAAGAATAAAGTACAAAGAGACCCGCCAAAGATATGAGTGAATGAAAAACAAAATGATGATTCCCTATTTAATATAATGGATCTTTCAGTGGATATCGCAATTAATGATAGTTTTTTGGAAAACTTGGACCCTTAAACTGCAAATTCCAGCGCACAGATTTTAAAACATTTTTGTTAATCCGGATAAGAAGCTGGATAGTGATTTAAACGAAAATATAGTCGACAACAATTTGGAAGAAAACCCGGATGCTCATACTATGATGATGACTTTAGAGCAAGAACCTAGAGAGTTGGTACACGGTAATATGGCAAATTTTAGCACTGTCAGTACCTCATCTCTGGATCCCATCAATCATGATCCATCTTCGTTAGTAATGCCAAATATTGATAGTGATTATCATCCTACTGAAGAAGACTGTGAATCTGATGACTTATCTAATAATGAAGTATTATTGCTCACGATAATACCACTAAAAAAGCAGTAAAGCGACTACTGGGTATTAATACTAAGAAAAGTAATCAAAAACTAAGGGAAAAAGGAAAAAAAAATATTTGGGATATCGAAGACCAGCAAACCAAACAAATACCTTCCACGATACACAGAAAGAGGAGAGTAAATTGGGACCAACATGTACCTCGACGTTTTGTGCTAGATCTAAAAACAGAAAATGTCATCTAAAGATGTAAGACAAGAGATGTTTTCTCAATTTTGAGACAGCTTTACTTGGTATCAAAGAAAAACATTACGGTTACCAAAGAAAGTCCAAAACAACGTAAAACTGAAAATAAAGAATCACGACTTAGTGGAAAACTCAGATATACCCTGAAAG